AGCTACGGGTCTGTGGTTATCCCAGATCCTAGTCTTTTTTTATATATATAATTAATTTTATTAAAAGATAAGTCAAGTATACATAAACAAGATTGCTGTTTGAACATTAATACAAACTGTAAGTGCAGATACATCTACCACAATGCCGTCTATTAACTTGTCAGCAGTATCTTTCTATGACCATATCCTTGTCACTTTCTTGTGATTTTCCAATTATTCTACTATTACTAAAGTAATAACGTATATTAAATCCAGATATATTTTAGAAGGACCTCAATAGTATTTTATGAGAGTGCTCAGACCATAAAAAATTCTCATAGATGTATCCATTCTGCATAGCCAGTATTTGCTGGTAATACATCGTTTTCTGTAAAATATGTTATGAGAGGACACCATTTTCGAGGGAATCTAGTCTGACACTCTTAACTGCCACACCACACTGCCTCTCTCTCCGCTACGTCATATGCATAATTTCATAAAACTCTTATTTCCTTTCATCTCCCCCCCCCAAGTCTTCTCTGATAGTGGTGGCACACTCCCCCCCCCAACCGTGGAAAGAACTCCTTGGCGTCAATCCAACCCGCTGCCTTTAAAAAAAAATCTCTTAACTAAAAAGTCCCAGGCTCTTCAGCATTTCTTCATGAGGAAAGTGCCACCCCCCTTGTCCCAAGAAAAGCAACCAACCTGTTGACGTCCGGGCCGGTGCTGCTGCTGCGGAGAAGAGTAGGTCCGGATTTGCCCGGCTCTCGGCCCTTCAGTTCTTTCAAGAGCGAAGCATCGCAGCTCTGATCTTGCAGGTGATAATCTAGTTGATCCATGAGATCCTGGTCAAAGGCCACACGGCAGAGCGGGGACAGGACCATGTTCTCCTTGATTTCGAAAGGGGCAAACTTCCCGCACCAGCCAGCAAGAGTCTGGAAGAGCGAGGAGGAAGGATTTGGTCCCATTTCTTAAGGTACCTTTGGGGCTGACCTTCAATCTATTAAATATCACAAAAGGTGCTCGACCACCCAAATCCGCTTCCTATTGTCAGAGTGGAATCATTCAAGGGGGTGGTTTCGACCTACAAAGTCCAGGAAACCTCCGTGTCTCAACCACTACAATTCTCACAACTGGAGGAAGGAAACCTCTGAATGCCACACAAATCCAAGCACCAAAAGTGTGGAGGGGAAGGAGTCATCCCAATGGCTTCTGCAAGAACTTGGGCAACTGTGTTCTTACAGTGCTCCAGGGCCCTAGCCTGCACTTATTTTGGAAGCAGCAGCAGCAGCACAGTTCTGACTGGGAGGGCTTAAAACATTTTTGGAAAGAATATTTACGTACTACCTTTTCAGGGCGACTGGTGTAATAAGTTAACATCAACGATTTAAAAAAAATTACAAAGCCAGTAATATTTGTCAACGGAACAACCACATATGCTCAACACTAATTTCTCAGAAAAAGTCAACAGTCAACAGAATCCCGGGAGAATTTTAAAAAATTCAGTCACTGAGCTATTTTGAGGGATGAGTGATGCTTCTGTGGGTGCCTAGCGCCCTGACCTCGATGGCCCAGGCTAGCCTGATCTCGGCACGTGTCAGAAGCTAAGCAGGGTTGGCCCTGGTTAGTATTTAGATGGGGGACCAGAAAAAAAGTTCCAAGGTCGCTATGCTGAGGCAAACCACTTCTATTCATCCCTTGCCTTGAAAACCTTATGGAGTCGCCATAAGTTGCTGGCAACTAGAGATGTAAAATTTCTGGAAATTTTGAAGCTTGGAAAAAAAACCGGTTTTTTTCGGGGGGAAACGGAAATTTTCGGAAAAATTGAAAAAAAAAGCTACATTAGCATTTCTTTTGTCTTTTCCAGATTGAAAGTCATTCTGTTACTTTAGGAACATAAAACATGACTATGGACATTTTTACTTGGCATGAAATGATCACAACTAGCCTATTAAAAATATAGTGTATCCAAACAATTATTACAAACAGAATACCCGCCCGCATGCAAAAACAAAACTGAAACTTTTTAATTTTCTTCTGACAATCACACCTCCTAAAGGAAGAAATGCATCTTGTTCTTGCATTGGAGAGCTCAGTTTGTAACCTAGGACTTGCTTGTCCTCAGGGCACAGAAATTAGATCAATCTGATACCATATATATATAAGAAATGATTTGGAAAATATTTGAACACCTTGTCTTAAAATATTTTATTCATCATGTTAAAATAAAACGTTTCATAATCATTTTTTTTCTTTTCTTTTCTCAATTTTTTGGAAAAAAACAAGAAGGCTCCAGGAAAAAAACGGGGGGGAAACATTTCCCCCCCTGAATTTTTCCGGTTTTTTTTCTGGGCCTTCACATCTCTAGTGGCAACTTTATCCTACTTTTTATTACCACCGTTCCCCATCATTCCCCTTTTCCTCGCCCTTTGGCTCCCGTCTCAGAGAGTGCTGGCTATGTGGCCACTTCACAGATACACCAGAGGACAGCTACTGTTATTACAGCTGTTGTCACTTTGGCGGCTACCTCTGAATTTTGGGGGGTGGGGGTAGTTGTAGGATAGCCGCAAGGAAAGTCTGTTACCTGATTTTGGGGCTTCCCAGAGGCCTCTTACTGGCCGCTGCTGGAAACAGAACGCCAGACCAGATGGACTTTTTGTCTGTTCCAGCGGGATTCCCACTAATGTTCTTAATGCATTTTTTTTAATGCATGCCTTAATGGCTTTGTTAGCACAACACCTCAGCAGGGTTTCGTATTTGTTTTTGGAACATATACCTTTTCTCCTCCAATAAGGGGCAAGGTAAAAAGAAAACCAGAAAGTATTTTGAGCTGGACGTTCAGCTGGTGGAAAGTGGCATCAAGTCACAGTTGAGTGACGGTGACCCCTCATGGGGTTCTCAAGGCAGGAGACTGACAGAGGTGGTTGGCCATGGCCTGCCTCTGTGCAGCAACCCTGGACTTCCCTGGTGGGCTCCCATCCAAACACTAACCAGGGCCGACTCTGCTTAGCTTCTGAGATCTGACGAGATCAGGCTAGCCGGGGCCATCCCAGCGGGGAGTTAATTGCAGGTTCAGCCTCGGTTCCCTTCTCCCCATTCAATCCCTTGTCCTTCCTTTCAGCTTTCCAATGGTGCCTCTCTCAACCCGGCAAATTGGATCAGAGGAAGAAGGAGGAACACAGAGAGACCAGTAGGTGTGTGCCTTGCAGGAAAAATGTTTTAGAAGAAGAAGAGCTTGGATTTACACTCACCCTTCACTACCCAAAGGAGTCTCAGAGCGGCTTACAAACTCCTTTCCCTTCCCCTCCCCACAACAGACACCCTGTGAGGTGGGTGGGGCTGAGAGAGCTCTTGACGGAAACTGTTCTTTTTCAAGAACAGCTCTGACAGAACTACGGCTTGCCCAAGGTCATCCAGCCCAGGTGCAAGTGGAGGAGTGGGGAATCAAACCCGGTTCTCCCAGATTAGAGTCCACACACTTAACCACGACACCAAACTGGCTCGCAAACAGTGCTATATACAGCTGCTGAGATCTGGGGGAAAAAAACCCCACATAGATCATTCTGGCTATATAAACTCAGATGCATTATTCACACATTCCAGGGTGGAGTGGGGAGAACCTGTGTACGCAGAATGCAGTATGTAAAAGAAAGTGCCAGCCGCTCTGAACTTTAAGGGGAAAACACAGAAAGCGATATTAACAACAGACAGTACACTGAACCGGTTTAAAGGAAACTGAAAAGGGCGGCAGATAAAAAGCTATGTAACAGGCTCACCTTCGGAGCAGGCGGGGTCTTTGGTTTTTGGAAGAACCGAGTGATTTCCGCTTTCTCTGCTTTGATGCGCTACAAATAAAGTGAAGAAAACTGACACAGGCGCTTTAAGCACAACAACTCTTATTCCCATGCAAGGGAACATCCCATCCCCCTCCATCCACTGCAAACTGTAACCTCAGAGAGAGAGGGGGGGGGAATCATCATTACCTTCTCCTCCTCTTTCAACCGTTTCTCCTCCTCTTTCTTCCTTTTCTCTTCAAGTTTTGCCCTTTGAAATAAAGCCCGTTTTCAAGAAAAGACACAAAAACACCACTCAAGCACAATTTGCAAATCCACCGGATTGGTGCAGGCCAGTGTTCCCTCTAAGCTAAGTTTGTGTGAGCTAGCTCACAGTTTTTTAGCCCCCGGCTCACACATTTTCCTCTTAGCTCAGGAAGGATGGCTCTAGAGCAAACTAATTTAGGCAGCAGCCAAATCACTCACTCACAACTTTAATGCCAGGAGCTCACAAAGTAGAATTTTTGCTCACAAGACTCTACAGCTTAGTGAGAGCATTGGTGCAGGGGTGTGGCCAGATGTTTGGAGGTGTGCTTTGAAGACACGAAGATGGCTGCACTAGGCGGAGAGGTAGTCGAAGGCTGCTGTTACCCACCCACAAGGCTGTGAGATAAGGTAGGCCTTAAATCTTAAAGTGACAAAAGAAAATTAATAAACATAAGGTCTCCAAACCCGGCATGGCATGGCAGTTGGGGGAATTCTTGATGGGGGACTGGGAGCCGAGAGACCCGAGTTCAAATCCCACGTGCGCCAGGGTTCCCCAGCATGGTGCTCACGGGTGCCCAGGTGCCAGCCAAGCTTTTCAGAAACTGTGTGTGGCCACCATGAGGCTAAGCTTGTTATTGGCTTTCCTCATTCAAGTGAAAAGGTTTCCCGATGCTGAAAAGGAAGGATCAAGAGAAGAGGAGGAGATTGGATTTATACCCCGCCCTTCACTACCCGAAGGAGTCTCAGAGCGGCTTCCAAACTCCTTCCCCTTCCCACAATACGCGCCCCGTGAGGTAGGTGGGGCTGAGAGAGCTGTGAGAGGACTGCTCTTTCAAGGACAGCTCTTGTCAGAACGATGGCTTGCCCAAGGTCATCCAGCGGCTGGTAAGCACTTGTGCTTTTGGTTCCATTCCCCCTTCAGACTTTCCTTATTTTTTACCCGTTTCTCTTTCTCTCTTCCTCTCCCTCCCTGGGCTTTCCTTCATTTCTTTGTATTCCCCTTCTGTGACTCTTTTTGCTAAGTGAAGCTGTTTTGGTTTTGGCTCCACCTGCTGAAGAGGGGCCCTCGTCACCCCTCAAAACCCCAAGAAGTGCCCCAGGCTCAGACAGATTGGGGATGTCAACCCTATGCTACCCCTGGCCTCCTTGGAGGTACGAGATTATTTCATAGATACACATGCACTCAACTGGTAACCTGCTACAAGACAAAGGAATCAGGACTATGATCGGGGGGGGGGGGGGCCAAAACCTCCTTTCGGCTAATAAGAGAAGGGAACCTGAAAACTTCTCAGCCTGTGCTCATAAGAAGAAGAGGAGATTGGATTTATACCCCGCCCTTCACTACCCAAAGGAGTCTCAGAGCGGCTTACAATCTCCTTTCCCTTCCCCTCCCCACAACAGACACCCTGTGAGGTAGGTGGGGCTGAGAGAGCTCTTGACAGAAAGTGCTCTTTTTTCAAGAACAGCTCTGAGAGAACTTGTGACTGACCCAAGGTTACCCAGGTGGCTGCACGTGGAGGAGTGGGGAATCAAACCCGGTTCTCCCAGATTAGAGTCCGCGCACTTAACTGCTACGCCAAACTGGTGTAGAAGAACGACTTACTCCAGGGCTTCCTGCTTCTCCTTCCTTTTTTCTTCCTTCGCTCGCAGCTTTTCAGCCTTCTCTCTCTCATCTTTTTCCTTTTTCTCCCTCCTCTCCTTCTCCTTCAGTTCCTTCTCTTCTTCTTTTTTCCTCTTGGTCTCCTCCCGGGAGCGTTCTTTGGCAGCTCTCGCCTCCTCTTTCAGCCTTTCCTTCTCCTCTCGTTCAGCCTGCAGCTTCTGAAGTTTATCTGCACGCTCTTGGTCCTGGGTTCCCAGAGAGAGAGAGAGAGGACTCAATCAGCTCCCTTCCAAACAAAATTGCCGCACAGAGAGGGAGCAAACAGCTACATAATGCAAAGAAGCGGGGAGAGAGAAGAACTAGGAGCCAGGCAAAACAGTTTGGCCAGCTGGCTACTATCAGACCAGTCAAATGTTTCTAAAAGCATTTGCTTCATTTGCGACACAAAAACCCTGCCTAAATCACCAATGGGTTTGATGTTCAGACTAATTTTTTTTTTTTTAAAGGAAATTACCCAGACGGCCACCAGTGAATCTCCAAAATAATCACAGTTTCAGATATCATAAACGGAACGTATTCGATTGTGGCTCGGTGCAGATGTATCACTGCCTCGTCACCTAGCCGCGGTTGGGAATGGTGTGCGCCCTGTCGGCTGGTGGCCTCCTCCAGCTTCAAGCCACATTTGCAAACTGTGGTTTGGTGCCTGGCATTGGTTAGCAAAAACCCTTGCGTGACTGTATGGGGGCGGCCCCCGGGATCCCTGTACTCACCAGAGGTGAAGAGGAGAGAGTCAGCTGTAACAGCCTACCTGGCAATGGCCTGCGTACGTCAGGATTCAGCCCCATCCCTGTCAGCCAACATGGCTGTACTGGGCTGGCCCCAAAGGCCTAACCTGAACAGCTGCTGCTCGGGAGGGCCCTGAGCCTCAGTGAGCCAGCATCAGCTGACGGGGGTGGGGGTGGAGGCGGGGCAGTCATTTGAGAGAAGTGGAGGGTAAAGACAGAGATCAGCCCAGCACCACCTGATTGGTAACAGCTCCTGCCCGTCAACCCTAGAGGGTAAGGCAATGCTCAGGAAAGCGGGGGAGAGAAAGGGGCTGGCGTACCTCAGGTTATCTCCCTCATAAGGGCCAGGGACTCAGGCCTGGGAGGACAGCCTAGCCCTCCTGCCAGCTAATCAGCTACAGAAGAAGCAGAAGAGATTGGATTTATACCCTGCCCTTCATTACCTGAAGGAGCCTCAGAGTGGCTGACAAGTGGAAAGTGGAAGCATACCATTTATAGCCTTAAAACACACACACACAATTCTTGTTCACAGGATACCAATGAGGATGTGTTCACACAAGCAGTTTATGCACCCCTGCACAAGAAAATCAATGGTTCACCAAGCTGAGAAACTTGGAAAGGAAAAGGAGAACAGTGCGTTAGTATCTGTGTCCTCCTGAGAAGTAACACTGGCAAAAGGGCTGACATCTAGACAAGTTACTGAAAAACAAAAATGAGAGAGCGTAGCACCAGACAGATAAAGCAGACAGGTTCAGCCTCCCGGCAGAAGTCCTACAACATGGAGATGAGATCCAAAGTGGAGCACAGAAAAGCGGAGAGGTCTACATCTGCTGGGTACTGCTAAAGAAGTATAAACATTTTTTTTTTGGTCACCAGAAAAAGGCTTACTTTTTGCAACCTCAGCTTCTCCTTTTCTGCAGCACTTCGCTGGCTTTTCTGATTCACCTGGAAATGAGAAGCACACAGATGTATACATGACGCTTTTGAATTGCTAGGTTGGCAGGAATTTATCACTAAATTAGTAACTGGGAGATCTGGGTTCAAATTCCCATCCTGCCATCAAGCCTAATGGGTGACCTTGGACCACTCAGGTTCTTGCAGCCTGATATATACCTCACGGGGCTGTTGAGAGAATAAAATGGGGAGGAAAGAACCATACATGCTGTCTTGATTGTGCTGGAGGAAGGATGGGATAACAATATAGATATTATTTCTTCGCCCGTTTTCAAGTTGCTATTTATGACTGGATTTTTTTTAATTACTGTTTCTTCTTGCTTTAAATTTCTGGTCGATTTTAGTCCATTGCCACTCACCGTGGGCAGATTTTTAGACAAACTAAGATATAATACGAATGAATAAACTAAAAGATTTATGCATCTGATCTATTTGATTCACCTACATTTTTATTTGCCCTGACCTGGAAGGCCTAGGTTAGTCCAATCTTGTCAAATTTCAGAAACTTGGAATCGGAAGGCAGACGACCAAGGAAATCCAGGCCGCTATGCAAAGGCAGGCAATAGCAAACCACCTCTGAAGTCTCTTGCCTTGAAAACCCTATGGGGTCACCATAAGTGGGCTGTGACCAGTGTTCCCTCTAAGCTGAGTTATTGTGAGCCAGCTCACAGTTTTTTAATCTCCAGCTCACACATTTTTGTCAATCAATTCAAATTTTTAATTCAAAAAACCTTTATTGGCATAGATCAGAATCATACAATCGCCATTCAGTTCATGGATTCACACATTTTTGTCTTCGCTCAGGAAAGATGGCTCCAGAGCACACTAATTGATGCAGCGGCCAAATCGCTCGCTCACAACTTTAATGCCAGCAGCTCACAAAGTAGAATTTTTTGCTCACGAGACTCCACAGCTTAGAGGGAGCATTGCCTGTGAAGTGATGGCACTTTCCACCACATCTTTGTTCTCCCTTTCTGCCATCGTGAGTTTTAAAGTGATATACATAAGAAGGGGGAAGATGAAAAGTCCCAGAACGTTGACGGTGAACGTACTCAAACGTACTCAGCTTCTGCACGATAGCCTGATTGTATACCCTTAAAACCACATTTTGAGATTTGCTTATCTGTTCTATTTTCAAGTCGCATGTTGTTTTTCCTCGAGACAGCTTAGGCTGAAGTTTCTGGGAGCACCGTCTCTGACCCTTAGTGCACTTGTAGAGTGGAAATGCTTCTGGTTCACTACCACTACAAAGGTTTGCCAAATATGTTTCATGTTCTTAAAGAGTTTGCATCACCTGCCTTTTAGCTATTTAGGTGAAATGGATCTAAACTCAACAGCAGCATTCATCTGTTCAAACACCCCTGGCTTTGCCCCTGAATGCTACTTGCTTCCTGCACCAGACAAGGCATTAACACAATGCAGGGAGTTCAGTGCAGCCCCTAAGAATAATTTTACCCCAGTCTAAGCCCAATGGGACTGAAGTTACTCCACAGAGGGTTCTGCTGTGAGCCATGCCGGATCCATTAAATTAGCCTAGATTTTCTGCGAGAGCAAAATGTACATTTTGGCCTGTGTTCAAGAAGCAGCCATGTACACAAGAGATTATCTCATTTTAACTGTGACATCTCCATGAGGTAAGCCAGGCCGAGAACACGGGTGCTAGCTGTAGGCACATACACTTCTCGCCTCCAGTGTTCCCTCTAAGCTGAGTTCGTGTGAGCTACTTCAGTTTTTTAGCCTCCGGCTCACACATTTTTGTCTTCGCTCAGGAAGGACAGCTCCCGAGCAAACTAATTTATGCAGTAGCCAAATCGTTCACTCACAACTTTAAGGCCAGTAGCTCACAAAGTAGATTTTTTGCTCACAGGACTCCATAGCTTAGAGGGAACATTGCTCGCCTCCCAAGCAGGAGCCATAAAAGAAGCAGCACCCCCTTCCACAAGAGAGACATAAATGAATGCCTCAGCCCCCCCCCCCCATTTTTGGTATATTCTTACATTCAAAAGCAAACTGTCCAAGTGCTTAAAGAGACCCCCTCCCAATCACCCATGAGGTATTAAATCAAATCAGTTGAAGCAACTGATCAATTAAATCAGTGTTTGCCGGCCTGTGAGCTGGGACCCAGAAGTGGGTCAAGGACCAGCCGTCACTTAATGGCTGCCCTTCCCTTTTCCTTGGCTGTCTTTTGCATTTTGGAAATCAGGAACTGACCCTGGAAGTAGTATCTTCCATGTCATACCTTAGGTGATATTTTTTCTTCTTCATTGCCATGTACATGTGGATCAAGTTAAACTTGTCCTGAGGGTTACTTTAGTGAGTTTCTTAGAATCTTAGGGGGGATTCGATGGAGGAATACAGAAAGAGAGGATGGCTGAAGGCTGGAATGTAACCCCTGCATGCAAAGGCCGTAGTGGGGGCAACTGTGTCCTTTGTGAGGTATTTGTTGGTTTCTAAAGAACATCTGGATTAGCCCCCGTAGAAAATGGAATGCTGAACAAGGTTGGTGCCAAGGTCATACTTTGCCTAGGTCCCCCAAAACCCTGGGCCAGCCAAAGTAAATTTGAACTTGTACAGGGTTGCCACTAAAATTTTATTTTTCATTTCCCTGACTTTCCCGGACCAACATTTGTCAATTTCCCTGACCACCATTCAAATATAACCACAAGTTAAAAAATGAATGGTATTGCATGAATGCAAGGTAAGGTTCCACTCTACAACTACACAAGTCTCAAGTGCAAAAATATTTGTCAAGATTTAATATCAGCTTCTTTCAACATTCACTGCAGCAACATCTGTTTTGCAATTGCACCAAAATTTACACCGAGATACAAATTTCAATTCAAGTGAACTCTGAATTTTAACAAATGACATAACATTTTTGTCATTGTTTTAAAGGTACGCTAAAAATTTTATCAACGTTCTATCTAAAACGGTTAGGAAAGGGCATCATTGAGTTCTACTTGTGTTCTGCTACTTCTCTATTCCAGTTGCCACAAGAACAGATCAGGCTCTTGCTGCAGCAGGTCAAAAATCCACGGCTTGAATATCTTTTAATCACAATTCCCCTGACTTTCCCTGACTTCAGACCAATTTCCATTTCCCTGACTTTCCCCGAAAGTGGCGACCCTGTATGTAGATCCCCATACCAAAAAAGGTTGGGAGCCACTGACTTAAATGATGCAGACTCCCCCCGTGCCCATTTCACAGCGAGAGTCGGCTGCTGTGGACTGGAAAGGATCTGTAACAAAGCTGTTCTAAACACAGCCAAAGATCCTCAATACGCACACAAGCACAAAACCTTTTGACAACTGGACCCATCAGACTGTTCAAGAGGCCATTTCTCCTTGGGATGTTTTTGACCCTTGGGCAGGATGCAAATTTTGTGAAACAGATAAATTAAATACATTCAGCACTATAGTTAAAGGAGCCCCAAAGGAATCATCTTAAAATTGATTATTATTCCTGAAGCTTCCTTAAGCCCTGAAGGAGAGATCGCTCCTTTGCAGCTCAGGCCCCTGTCTCCAAAAAGTGCCCATTCATTTCCAAAGTGTGCCATCATCCAGTTATTCTAGTCCCATTCCAACAGCAACCTAAACCACATCCTTCCTCTCCTGGGGCTAAAGGTCTCTGGAAAGGAAGCCTACAGGTGCAATTACCTGAGCATTTAAAGAAATGAGACACCCATTTTCTGTCAAGACTTTCCCCTTTTCTTTGAATAGCTGGCAGCACCCAGCAACAGGAGAAGCCCTGTATTCTAGGGCTTGGAACTGAGCCAGATGATAAATGTCAGCTTACGAGGACACCAGGGATGGCCAACTGGCTGCCTGTTGAACAATTTTACCTGGACCCCTGCTGGCAGCCCTCCAAAATCATAAGCACAGTTCAGATGTCTGCAAACAAGTCTGACTCGTGAAGCAAAATAATGTCGAAAGAGAGCTAAATGTTTTGAACTTTGATCACCACCTGTCTCTTTAGATTTTGCTTGGCTCATGCTTCACGAAACGTGTTTCCTATTACAAAACTAATTTACACCGACTTTAGGACAAGATACGTGAAAGTGCAGAAAGAAACCCCAGGAAAAACCCTCTTTCCGCCCAAAGACCCCACCCCACGCCAGTTTTTCTGAAAGAAAAGCTGAAAACTCTGTGGAGCGCTGGAAAAAACCCCAATGCATGACATATCTTCTATTAAAAAAAATTTTACTCAAAAAAATCTTGCTTGCAAATATTTCTGTGTAAGATCTCTCTGTAAAACGGAGTTGTTCCGCCAGGCCTATGGGTTAGGTGGCGTTAATTTATCCACAATGGCCTCCCCTGCTCTGTCTAAGCTGCTTGTTTGAGTTGCTTCCTTATTCCATCACAGTTCTCTTCACCCACTCACTTACCTGTCTCGTTCCACCTGTTGTTACACACAGAGTCTTTCCTGACTCTTTAAATTGTGTAGCTGATGCCACAATGTTTGTGCATTAGCATTGTTACACAGATTTTAATGACTGCATTATATTTTAACTTTTGTATTTTTTAAGTCTGTTGTTGTAACCCGCCCTGAGGCTGCTGTGCAGGAGAGGGAGGGCTAGAAATGGAATAAAATAAATAAGGATCTGTTGAGAATGGGCGAGTGGGCATCAGACGTGGCAAATGGGGTTCAACGTGGCCAAGTGCAAACTGAAGCACATTGGAGCCAAAATATAAATACACATTGCTGGGGTCCAAACTGGCGGAGACTGACCAAGACAGTGTGCAACTGCAATAAAAAAGGCCAACTCTATGCTGGGGATTATTAGGAAGGGAATTGAAAACAAAGCAGCCGTATCATAATGCCCCTGTATAAATCGATGGTGCAACCTCATTTGGAATACTGTGTGCAATTCTGGTCACCACACCTCAGAAGGGGTATTATAGCACTGGAAAAGGGCAACTAGAATGATATAAGGGTTGGAACGAAAACCAATAGAATTTTTTAAAAAAGAATAAAAAGAATTTTTAAAAAAAGAACTAAAAAAGAATTTTAAAAAGGTTAAAGCGCTTGGGCCTTTTTAACTTGGAGAAACGACGACTCAGGGGTGACATGATTGAGGATTACAAGATTATGCATGGGGTAGAGCAGGTAGAGAAAAAAGTACTTTTCTCCCTTTCTCATAATACAAGAACTTGTGGGCACTCAATGAAATTGCTGAGCAGTCAGGTTAGAACGGATAAAAGGAAGTACTTCTTCACCCAAAAAGTGATTAACACATGGAATTCACTGCCACGGGAGGTGGTGGCGCCTGGTATTTTTGGCCACTGTGTGACACAGTGTTGGGCTGGATGGGCCATTGGCCTGATCCAACATTGGCTTCTCTTATGTTCTTTTGTACAGCATTTGAAGATAATTCCTGTCAGTGTTCTCTTTAAGGTGAGTTCGTGTGAACTAGCTCACAGTTTTATAGCCTCCGGCTCACACACTTTTGTCTTAGCTCAGGAAGGAGGGCTCCAGAGCAGACTAATTTATGCAGTATCCAAATTGCTTGCTCACAACTTTAATGCCAGTAGCTCACAAAGTAGAATTTTTGCTCACAAGACTTCACATCTTAGAGGGAGCATTGATTCCGATATGTATATTTGTGTGTGCCCTGGCTTGGATGGCCCAGGCTAGCCTGATCTGGTCAGATCTCAGATGTTAAGCAGGTTTGGCCATGGTTAGTACTTGGATAGGAGACGATCAAGGAAGTCCAGGATCGTGACACAGAGACCGGCAATGGCAACACACCTCTGAACAATGTCTCTCGCCTTGAAAACCCTAAAGGGTCGCCATTAAGTTGGCTGCAACTTGACAGCATTTCTACCACCACCACATGTATGTGTGTGCGCAGGGGTCATTTCGTAGAAAAAGAGGTGCAGGAGCTCATTAGCATAACTCATCAGCTTAACTTATTTGCATATGCCACGCCCCCTGACATCACCGGAAGTGTGTCAGAAGGCAACACCCACCGCTCAGGCTCCACTGGACTGTTTTGGATTGCTAGCTATTGGGGGGAGGGGGGACGTGCAGATCTGTCCTTATAAGAGGAGGGAGAGCTTGTACCTGAATAAAACTTGGTCTTAAAGGTGCCACTGGACTGTTTTGGACCGGGGACCCGGGGGGAGCTCTGCAACTTACCTGGCTGCTTCTTGCTCTGACTGAGGGCTGCTGGGAGCAGGGGGTGGGGCTTGTTGCATGTGCCTGCCGCCAAGCTCTTTACTGCCGGAGCTCCGCTCCTGTGTGCTCCTGCAGGAAATGACCCCTGTGTGTGCGTGTTTGTGTACGCATACAAACCCGGACAATACACTCAAAACCAAGATCAACCTGCTCATTGAAGACGCTGTTTCTAGCGTCAAGAGAGGAGCAGACATTAGAACTAGCCTGTCTGGGGACTTTGATCTGGCCCTTAATCCAGTGTCCTCTTGACCTGGGCCCCTGTGGTCAACCTCTTGCAGACAGACAGCACGGTGTTGTGGTTATGAGTGCCGGACTCTAATCTGGAGAACTGGGTTTGCTTCCCCACTCCTCCACATGAAGCCTGCTGGGTGTAGAGATGTAAAATTTCCGGAAATTTTGAAGCTCGGAAAAAAACC